TATATATATATATATATATATATATGTAGAAATAATGTTTTTCAATGCAAATTATCCTGTTTTTGTCACGTAGATTATAATATATGCTATTTAAAGTAAGAAAGATTTAGATTTTTAAATAAGCAAAAACGAGTCAAATTATAGAAGGTTCTCCATCATTCTCGCCAATTATAATCGGTCCCCTTTTCTATATGCTTATCAGCATGAATTTTTAAAAGATGGAAGATATCTTACATTTTAAGAACATTCTCTCTCAAGGGAATCTTAAAGACTATTAGTCATATTGAAAATAATATTAGATGGGAAAAAATTCGTGGCGTTTTTCCCGTTAGATAGCATTAAAAAAACGAACCTTTTCCCATATCTAATACTTACACATAGAAAATTGTAATTATTATTTATTTCTTCATATACATATTTACTATTCTTATTCCTTAATAAAACTTTATAAACATATTTTATAAGTTATTGTGTCATTATACATTATATTTGCACTATTTGTAGAATTTTCATGAGTCGTACATACACTTTTTCTTCTCTTATAAGTAGCCCTATGGGATATACGGCACAAATGCAAGCGTTTCAAAAAATTTATTTTTTAATATGAAAAATAAATATTTCGGATTTCCAATATTTTTAATATTTCTAATATTTTTTAAATAGAAGTAGACAGTACAAAGTTTTTACTGATATTGTTTACTATAATCATAATAATAATACTTAATAAATTAAGTTTTTGATAGATGCTGCGTATATACCTGCGTATAGAGATATCCTATTTTAGGTAAGATTTAATTAAGATTTTAATTAACAAGGTCATAATCTTCTGGTTCATTCATTTTCAACTTTTAGAAACTTTTTTTCAGTGTAAGATTGATATATTCGAACTTAAATGAATAATCAAAAAACAAACAGAAGAAAATATTAATTTTATAAAATTATAATAATAAATTAAGTATAATTCTCTACTTTTTTCCTTTAAAGACATTTGAAAAAACTACGAACGCGCGTAATATATATATAAGAAATACGCATTAAAATAATGGGTAATGTATCCAGAACACTTAATTTATAATTCAAGATAATCAATACTATGTCTTATCGCACGATGTAATTGGGATCATTACCAACCTGCATTACTAGAACTTACAAAAAAGCCACTGCCGTGTATCATTACTGGATCCTTTTCCAAGAATTCGATTCTCGTGGTCAACATATTTAAATAAAAGCAATCTTTATTGTCTATAATTTCGTGTGATAATCTATTTGAAGAGCTATATTTCCGTACTTCGAAGCATTTCTTTTACCGTACCATGGTTCCGCTGATATCGGATTCTATATAAAATATGTAAGATATATATATATAAATATATAAATTAATGTACATTTAACACAATATTTATACTTTTAAAACAAAGTATATAGAGGCACTCAGCAAACAATGTTTTTTAAATATCTTTTTAAATGTTTATTTTTGATTTAATTTTATATTTTTTACGAG